ACTTGTGCTGCAAATTTCCTAATGGAAAAATCAGGAGCTCAAGGCAAACATTTTTTCAGCTAAAAATACTGGTTTATTTTTAGTCCTAGACCCCATATTAGAACATGGTGCAGAATAGCCCCATGTGGTTCCTTCAGCCTAAAAACCTATTCTTAGCTGTTACGCACTATTGAAGGTATAACTGCTTTCAGCTGAAACAGCTTCGCTCCAATCATGATTGCACCCACAATCCACGTAGTTTCCCCCCTCCTCTTCTAAGTGAATAAATACTTGTCATTGTGCACTGAATGCTGGCCAAGAATGATGCAACAGAGAACACAAGTGATTCTTCTGAGCTAATGGGTTGAAAGCCTGTAATGCTTAGGATGTATTTTTAGCCAAGAGCAACATCAGACTGGCCTACTTCATCTGAAAATCTTAAGAATGAAATTTCTCCTTTAGAAGGCTGGTATGTAAAAGCAAAGCTCCTAAGCAAAGAGCTGGCCTTGGATAAGCTACACCTGATCCCCCTGGTTGTTGTCACACAGCTTGAGCCAATACTAGTAACAGTCTAGGGCAGGAGAGAGGCACTGCTGCATTTCAAGCTGTCAGTCAGAACTTCCAGCTTCACTGCAGAAGTGGCTGTGCCTTGTTATTCTACTTATCAAATGTGAGTTTGAGCATTCAAAAATATTTTCCCATGTTCTAAGAAAAGTTTTATCTGAGATGGGAGAAGTTAAGCACTCTCAGAATTTTTTTTCTCCCAGTTAGCACAATCATTATATGATTGAGACAAAAAAAATCAAGAAAAGAGTGTCTGAAACATGCCTCATCTGCAGAACCTGGCATTTTTGTAAATATCCCACAGAGACTCAGATGGCTTTTTTTTTTTTTGTAATACCATATGCATCTTAAATCCCCCACAACACTCATTCAAGCAGAACAGGGAGGCTGTAATGAAAATTCAAGACTGTACCTGTGCGGTTAAATTCCTGCACGGTTCAATTACAGGACTTCAGCTGATGATGTCTAGGTGTGAAATCACCCCAGCAGCTCATCTGACTGTTTACTTGGGTACTGAGGGCACAATGTACTTCAGAGCCCTGGATTACATGCCAATTACTAAAAATCCAAATGCAGGGAAGTGGAATCTCTAATGAACTAAAAACCTTCCCTTTTTGACCCATTGTTTTCACCCATCCTAGCTTGGAAGCAAGAGCCTGCCTCCCACAGTACAGTAGTGGAGCTACAAACACAGAGCACAGCTTTGGAAGGGTAATTAATGGTCATAAAGCAGTCCAAAAGATGTGGCAGCGTCTGTCACGTTTCCCCTTGCCACCCCACCTTTCGTTATTTGGAAAAGTGGCTCCTGTGTTTGTAGAAATACCAGGGATCTTCCCTGAGAAGAGCCAATGTCTTCTCAGCAGCCTCTCTTTTCCATGTCCTCAGTTGTCACATCCCTAAAAATAATAAAAACAACAGACAGGGCAGGCAGGTGAACATCTGACTGCAGTTTTTAAAGTCAGTCACTTCAACACATCAGTCACCTCAGATAGCTTATGCTGAAAGATGGACCTCCACAAACACACTGGTACTTCTGCAACACCCAATTATTTTAAGATGTCCTTCCCGCATGCAGCAAGCAGAGTCTGAAAGGCAGCAATAAAGTACACCGGTTCCTCCAATCCATCTTGCAAGGGATTTATTTGGACACTCCTGTGAAGTTAAAATGTGATTTGGTCACCTCAGTCCTCACAGATAAAACCCAAACCCTAAGCCAGGAAGAACCTGATGGTATGTTTCCCTTTCTCTCTTGACTGCATTTGCACTGAGCTTTCTGGGTGAGACTTCTTGCCATCAGACACCGTCCCCTGCACCAGCCACAGTGACAGAAGCAGCATTGAGAGGCACACTGCGATCTGAGTATCTGGACAGGCTGAACTCATCCTTGGTGCTGCCCGAACCGCTCGTGACTCCTCTACTGCATGTCTCCTGCTCTGGGAAACCTTAAATAAAAACCTTCTAGGGATCAAGAATTACCTGCAGTTCCCATCCTAGGAGACAAATGATGTAAGGCAAGTCTTTGTCTCTTCTAGGAAAGGCCCATAAGCACAACAGGCTTTTCATCAAACTTCTCTACTTGCCATCGCAAACAGATTTAGAGTCACTTGGGGCACATCAGGATGTACCAGCAGGTCTCAGCACAGAGAGCTGGGATTGCCAGGATCTTCAAGAGCCACCTGTGGTGACATCAGGAATGAAAGGAGGACAGAACATCAAGGACAGCAATATGTTAATTACAGGCAAATGCAATTAAGTCTTGTTAGCCAGTAAATATTAGACAGGAGCTTTAGCTAGTATTTTCAGTACCTCTGCATAACCTAACAACGTTGTTATTCAATCCAATAGTTCCCAGCAAAACAGAACAATTTAGAAAGCAATTAATTTCCTAATGCCAATTTTTGCAAAGCTAATTTCAAAACACACATGTTGATGCAACTTCAGAACAGATGTACATCCAAAAGCACTTACTGTTCACTGCACTGGGTAAAGGCCCCAACCAACAGCACCTGTTTGAATTGAACAAAACCACCACAGACACACTGCTTGTTTCCTCATTGAAACCAGTCAGCTGGAGCTGACTCAAATCTATGAAAAAATAAAACCACTGGAAGCCCTTTTTCCACCTTGTCCTCCTCCTGCCCTCAGCTCCTCACCCAGCTGCACATGTAAAGCAGCACAAGCCAGCAGTGCTCGTCATACTGTGGGGAAAAAAAAAAAAAAAAAATCAAGAGCTGCAGTGTTACAATTTTCCTGTAGAAACAGAGACTAAGGAACCTTCACCCTGATTTTACCTGACCTCAGAGACCCGAGGGCTCACAGACACACAACAAATGTATCGACTGCTGACAATGCACAGAGCAGAGCTGCACCAGATAAAATATTTACATCTTCCACTCCACCACTGGACCATACCTGAAACAATGCATGGTTAAACCTCCTCTGAGCCATCCCCCCAACTGGCCACGCCAGCAAAGCTTAGCAGATCAGCAACAGCAGAAACAAGATGCTTGGACGCATTTTCAGATGTCCACATATTTTTTTTCCTCCCTTCTATAAAGGCAGAAAGAGGAAGTGCAAAGGGAAATCTAGCTGAAGCAACCTGCTTGTCTTCCAGCTGGGCACTGCCAGGGCTGAGACACAGCAGCTATTTTAGGATAAGGGAAGGCTGACAGCCCTCAACTGTCGACATTTAGCAGTGGACAGTGTTTCAAATATTTACACAGGCATGTCCCCTTCTGAGGCATTACAAACATTATGGCTTTTTACACCAGAACTGCTGTACAGAAGGGCAAGTGCTACCACAAAGGGGCTGAACACTTCCCTCACACCCAAGTGAGGATGCTGAGCTTTGGGGGGGATCACTACTGTAATTTGTGAACAAAATGGTATATTCAGGGACCTAAAATAAACCACAGACAAGACCAGAGATAACGATGCTTTATTTGTACATTTCAGCAACAGGAAAAATAATTGAAGATGAAATTATCTGCTTTGTTGTAAAGTATAAAAACATTTAATTATAAATATTTAGCTAAAAAAGCGTGATTTATAAAATATAATCTGTGAAGATATATATACACAGTTTAATTGTTTAGCAATTCTTTCACCTGACTTTAAAGAGTAGACATTTTTCTATTTATTATTCCACGCTCACAGTTTAGTGCTCACAGTTTAAGAAGCAAAACAGACAAGTGAAAAAGACTAGGTGAGTTTCGTTCTGGAAAGAAAAAAAAAATGCACAAACTGGGGCAATAGCGTAAGCAGAATTTGAACAAATCCGTGTTTTGAAAAGGTCTGAGGGAACACAGCTCCCCTGCCATGACCTACATATTGTACATATTGAACAAGCAATGGGCATTTTAACATTTGTGGGCAGGTTTCCTGTGTCTGCAAAAGAAAATAGCCAATAATATAGTGCAAGCCCTCCAAATTCAGTTCAGCTAAATGTGCTCACCTTGCTGCTCTTCCCTTCTTGAGCAGGGATTGCTCAGGATGTTGGGCTGGTGTTATCTCTTGTGGCTCTAATGAAATTGAACAATGTCACCTTCATGATTCAGGGTATGAGCAAATTTCCAAATAGAAAACCCCAGTGTGCGATCCGACTGCGTTGTCCAGCTGGCAGTATCCCTTAAAACCAGACACAGCAGCCTCAGGCTGGAAAATACAGTGAAGCCATACAGTACACTAAACATGATGGAATGTGAAAGAAGATACACGGTCAGGCAACTCAGTTTTCTATTCCTCGTTTAAGAGAGAGCCAGCTTCCTCCCTTCAAAGCCTTGGGAAATCTCACTTCTTACTGAAAGGTTTGTTACTATGGCACTTCAGAGAAGAAAAACTGGAAGACTCTCCAACGTGCTGGTCAGCAGAGAAAAGCTACAGGAGATAATTAATTTGATCTGTGTCCCTAGTAACTATCTTTCTCTCTTCACAGTGTTTTCACAGTGCCTGTGGTATGGGGCTTTGAGGAAGAAGAAAAGGGATAGTCAAGGATGCATGACGACACCTGGCAGCAGTACAACATACAGGAAGTCATGCCGTACTTTGTACACCCTGATTTACACAAGACCTCACTACTTGCCTGTAAGCAAGGAATTAATTAATATGGGCTTAATAGACAAAAGATGTATAGACAAGAAGGAGAGAATGAAGTAGGCAAACACAACATTTGTCAGTGCTCACTGTGATTTGCTACCTGCTGTTTCTGCTTCAGGGTGATATGCTCCTGACAGTTCAGAGCAAACAGCATGTACACAGCTTTCAACTCACATCGTTGTGAATGCATAGTAACTGCAAGAGTTGTGCCTTTGGAAACTCAGGAGGATCTTCAGAAGAGGAAGGCTAGCGAAGCTGTAACAAGTTTTAGGCAGGATCCAGGAAGTTCTCTGCAGGTAGAGCCCTGATCTGGGGAACGTACCAAGTCATGTGCAATCTCAGAGTGCATGTTGGCTGGTCGGTTACTGGGTAAATGCAGATTTTAACTCCCTGAAAGCCGCTCGGCGGTGTTTCCTTTCCTCCTCTTCCCGCTTTCGCTCATCCTGCTCAGCCTTTATCTCTGCTTCAAACTTACTGGCTGAAGAGAGGGCTTGAACCTTTACAAGAGAGAAAATAAGAGCATCAAGCCTTGCATCAGAAGAAGAGCCAGAGCCTGAACTGCTCCCAGATGAGCAACGCAAAACTGTGCTGCACTTCCCAGCACGTGCTGGGAAGCTCTGTCAACATGGGTCAAGTATTAATGACACTGCAGTGCTTGGGTATTTAAATTCAATACCTGTTGATTCACTTGACCTTAACATCAATAAAAGAAAGGTCATTTACTAATAAGTCACTAACAAACGACCAAAGCAATGCCGGCAGTACCAGCTCACATCCATTCTTTCTGTAAGCAGGCAGCATAGCATAAGTTGTGAGTATACAGTGGGAGAAACTACTGCAGAAAACAGTTCTGAATCACAGCCAAATCTGAGAACATCATACTACACCACAGATAATCTGCAGATCAAAGAGACATTGTTTGCTGGCTATTTTTCCAGCTTTCATCTCAGTACATCTGCTGTCCAATAGCTGTGTTATGCTCTTGGGAAAAAACTTCTTATATAAACAAGCAGGATTATTTTCTCTCCAAGAGAGCTTTCAGAAAGGGTGCTTTGTCAGCGTCAAATGGTGCAAAGCTCACTGCCAACCCCAGGACCCTGCAGAACAATTTTGATTCCAAAGGTTACACAGACCTGCTTGAGAAAGAGATGTCTGAAATCCTATACTCCAAAAAACTCTTTTCATGGCTGAACTCAGAGCCCTCAGGTTGAGGGAGGTTTTGCAAAATGAGAAACTCAGTCCCGTAAGTTCCCAGGACACTTTTGTCTTCAAAAGCGGTCAGCCAGCTAGTCCCATGGAGCTCCCCACCACAGGGACATGGGTCAGTCAGCTCCACCATAGCAAGACCACAGCAGGGACTGGGATTGAGCTGTTCTGGTGTTGACTGATCTGCAGAGGAAGGCTGTAGCTATGGTCCAGCATAAAGTGTGAAGAGAAAAGCTATGGCTGAGGTTAGGGATGTGCGTGAAATACACATCCTTTTAGCTAGGGAGAAAGCTGGCAGTATCTGCTGTTGAAAAACAAGGAGGATGAGTGTCTCAGTGGCAGTGAAGGCCCATGGGCAGAGCTTTCACACGTTCCCCTGTGCCACACCATACCTTAGCTTCAAAGAAGTTCCTGGCTCCTTTGACTCCCTCAATGGAGACATCAATCTCCGAGAGCTTCGCCAGAGTCAACAGGCCACTGTCCTCCTCGAGCTCCCCAGCTGCAGCTTTATGGAAAATCAGCAGG